CAATGGAAAATGAAGTTTTACAACAATATTCAAATATGATTGATCAAGTATTACAGTTAGTCTTGTGAATATTATGCATGTATATATATTTGAAAAAATAAGCTATAAATGATTATTTAAGTAAATTACTGTCATACAAGAAATAAACCTAAGTTGCTCAAAGTAATTCGAGTTTTTCTATCGTTCTGTGTACTTAGATTGTAACTAGCTGTAATAAAGCATTCCTTATAGATAGATTGTCTACAAAGTGCATTTTGTCTTCATTCTCTTAGTTTGTAAGATTTTTTATCGCAATGAAAGAAGCTCTTCATCAAAAATTAGTAATAGTTTGTTTTGATAGAGCTAGAAACTATCTATCATCTTGCATAGTAATGAAAATTCGTAAAAACGAACTGAAAAAACAATAGTAAAATCGAAACTTCAGTGAAATTTGATCAGATAGTTCCTTTGATTGTAATCAGTTTATTTTCTAGTTATAGTAGATCTAAATTAAAACCTAAATATATATAACGTAATAAACAAAACTCCGAGTGCTTTTAATAATCTTAATTAATTCTGTCAAAAACATGCCCTTCTATATCGATAATATACTAATAATATCGAACATAACTCTTTTTTTTACAGATATTAACTTCAATTTTTAATAAATTTTCTCTTGTATAGAATGTTTTGGAGACCTGAAGCACTGTTTGCAACAATATATGGATTGAACTGGATGATGGAACTGTTGACTTTGGGACTTTTGTATTGGCGTGCTTTGATTCTTCTTGAAAACAATGAAATAGACATGAGCGATGTTGTTATGTAACTAAAACAATAACTTTGATAATCTATAAATTAAGTTTCATTATCTTTTTTATTTTTATAGGATTTCTGCTTTTGGAATGTTTGCATTAGAAGTACTAAAAATTGTTGGAACGTTGTAAGATATAGAACTTATGTTTTTTTGTTTTTATCATTTATGGTCTTAGAGCGAGACGTATTGGTGCATCATTTGCTGCTGCTCATGCTTTTTTTGATCTATTTGATCGAATACCAACTATTGATAATGGATCGAATAAAGGCCGAGAATTGGTAAAATAAATAAAACTATTGTCTTTCAGTTGTATATTTTAATTTTGAATTGTTTAGACTAACTTTAGTGGAGAAACAGAATTTAATCAAGTTAAATTTGTTTATCCAAGTCGTCCAACAGTTCTTGTTCTTAATAAACTTCAATTATCTATTAAATCAGGTCAACGTATAGGTCTTGTTGGTATGTTTAAATAAATTATATTTTCTAGTTTATTAATCATATAATACAATCGTTTTAGGTTCATCTGGATGTGGAAAATCAACCATAGTCCAATTATTAGAACGATTTTATGATGTTACATATGGAGAATTGGTAAGTATCTCTTTTCTTTATATATAATTCAAGTATTTATATATAAATAAGATTCTTGATGGTGTTGATATTCGAAAATTAAATATTCAATGGCTTCGTTCTCGTTTGGGTATTGTTAGTCAAGAACCAGTTTTATTTGATTTAACAATTGCTGAAAATATAACATATGGATTAGAAAATATACCAATGGATGAGATTGTTCTTGCTGCAACTAAAGCTAATATTCATCAATTTATTCAACAATTACCTCAAGTTAGATAAATATAAAATTACATTGATTATTTAGTAATAGAATCTTATATTGTTATAGGGTTATGATACAAAAGTTGGAGTAAAAGGTAGTTTTTTATCAGGTGGTGAAAAACAACGTATTGCTATTGCTCGAGTTCTTATTCGTCGACCTAAAATATTATTATTAGATGAAGCTACAAGTGCTATGGATCCATACAATGAATACGTAAGTTTATTTTCTTTTATATATATCGTTAAAATGTAAAACTTAACATTTTTAATTGAAGATAGTACAAGCAACTCTTGAACAAGCTCAAATAGAAGATCCTAGTCGAACATCAATTATTATTGCACATCGTCTTTCAACAATACGTTCATGTGATTTAATACATGTACTTGAAATGGGTCGCATAGTAGAAAGTGGTACTCATACAGAACTAATACAAAAAGGTGGAATTTATTATAAAATGTTAAATGCTCAAAACAACGTACAATAATTACTATTCAACTAATTCATTAACAAACAAATAAATATTTTTACATTTATAATTATACACGTGTTTTTTACTAATTTTCTATTTTTTTATAATATGTATGAAATTAACTTTGAATTAAATTACATCTAATTTTATAGAAAATTTCAATAATCAACTTTTGATATCAACGAAATATTTTAATGAAGCAAATAATGGAAGAGAAATTGTGAAAGTATTAAGAAAATATTTTATTTTACATTATAGGTTCACAATATCCATTAATTAAATCTAAAGTATTGATTAGTCTTTTATTATCATCTTGCCATAAAATAAATAATACATATACTTCACATACTTTTACATCTTGAGGGTGTGGGTGTGGTTGCCATCCTTCTATACCAGCTTGCACCCATATCCATCCTTGAAATAATAATAATAATAGATCAACAAATATAAGATTATCACAAAACAGTCTAGTATGTATAAACCTATTATAAAAAAATATATATTGTTATATAGACTTTTCTCTTTAGTTTTCTATGTCTTAAGACTATTCAATTATTAATCACTTGTGATTTTAATGTTAATGCAGTCGATGAAGTAGGAAATATACTTTTACATATTCTTTTTCAAACAATTTTCGATTTCAAATTGCCAATCGTAGAAAACATGTTTAACATATTTTCAAATTCAAATAAACTTCATCCAGACTATATGAATAATAAATTCTGAAAAATATTTATCTCAAAACTTAATAAAAAACATAAATAATAAAGATCGTATATCATTTAACAAATATTTAGATGAAATATGATAATGAATGTGACATTGTCAACCATCGAGTGATGAAAAAAGAAAAGTATTTATTACAAGATTAATCTTATCAGTAGTGTGTTGTATATCGTTTCAAAAAAGAAAACGTAAGATTTATGATGAAAAAAACGAAAATTTATATAGTCCTTGGAATAATTCTATTCTTAATAATAATTACAATTGCATTAGTCGCATCTACATTGGGTATTGTTATTCGAAAGTCGAAAACAGAAACAAAAAATGTTGAATGTAATGAAGGTGCGTTAGTATGTTCAATATCTTCAAATGATTTAATGAAACATTTACAACAATTACAAAATATTGCTGATGAATCAAATGGTACTCGTGCTATTCATACTAAAGGATTCAATCAAACGTTTGATTATATTTATAATTATTTAACAACAAATACAAATTTAAAAGTTCAAAAAGAGTATTTTTCTTATATGAAATTTATATTAAATAATACACCAATGTTATCAACAAATATCAATGGTTTAGAAACGAATTATACATATGGTTTAGAACATGATTTTACATATTTAAGAAATTCAGGATCATCAGATTTCAATACACCATTTCAAGTAACATCAATACCTAATTTTGGATGTGATGAATCGGATTGGTTAAATGCAACATCATCATCACCAGTAGGAGACAAAGTCGCTCTTATTAAACGTGGTAATTGTACATTTACTGAAAAATCTCTTTTAGCTGTTAAATATGGTGTTGTTGGTCTTCTGATTTACAATGATGGTACTGCACCGAATCGATATTCACCTACGTCAGGAAGAGTTGATCAAAATATAACCTTTCCAGCTTTATCTATATCTTATCAAATTGCTTCAAGATTAATGAATGCAATACAAAATGTAGCTACAAATGTTGTCGTAAGAATTCATATCTCAACAACAAAATATCCCGAACCAGTTGGTAATATTTGTGCACATACAATAACAGGTGATGCAACTCAAACAATTGTTATTGGAAGTCATACAGATAGTGTTCCAGAAGGTCCAGGAATTAATGATGATGGAAGTGGTACTGCAACAAATCTTGTTTTAGCAACAAATTTAGATCGTCTATTTCAAACATCATCTTATCCACCTTATAAATATCGTGTCAAATTTTGTTGGTGGGGTGCTGAAGAAGTTGGCATTGTTGGTTCAGGATATCATGTATCTCAAGCTAAATATAGTACAATTCCAGGTGAACGTATTTCAGATTATCTTGTTAATCTTAATTATGATATGTTAGGATCACCTAACTTTCAAATGGGAATATATGATGGACATACAGCAAATTTTAGTACAACTCCACCAAAAGCTATTCCTGGTAGTATTCGATTAACAGAATTATTTCGTAATTGGTTTATTGATCAAAATCTTCCGTACACGATTAGTGAACTTGGTGGTGGAAGTGATTATGCATCATTTTTAGCTGCTGGTATTGTTATATCAGGTTTAAATTCAGGCATTAGTGATAGAAAAACAAAAGAAGAAAGAGATTATTATAATCGATTGTTAGGTCAAGGAAATGGTGGTGTAGCAAATGCTGAACATGATCCTTGTTATCATCAATCGTGTGATTCATTAGCAAATATTAATCCTTTAGGTCATGAGAAATTATCAAAAGCAGCTGCTTATATATTGGAATATTTGGGTAGACATTCTGATTTACGTTCATATTTGTATCCTTCAGATGAAATACGTCAATTGGAAAAAATATCAACATATAGATCAACAGAAAAAGATAATGTTCAATATGTATTCTATAGAATCAATGATTTGTAACTGTATAAGATTCAACAGTGTGAAAACTAAAACTTAAAATAAAATATTCATTTATAATTTAATTAATTAGCTCAGCCTTACTAGTGTATCAACGTTCGTGACACTCTAATAACGTGTGGACGATCGAATCGGCAAGATAAAGTTAACATCTTTAGATTAGATCGCATAAAATTAGCTGTCTAGTCTCCTTAACTCTTCTTATGTTATCTTCATATAGCTATTGAGGATGTGGGTGTGGGTGTGGATGTGGGTGCTGTATTCACCTAGTATCCACACCAACACCATCAAGAATTAGCACAATTAAACATATTTGTACTCAACGACAAGATCCACAAAAATTACCAGCTGGAAAAAAGACTTACATCTATTCAAGTTATTCTTTATATCATCTTTACAAAGTTTTTTTTGATAAAAATCTATGCAAATGTACCACCATCAATTTCTATTGATAGCTTTTTAGCAAATATTTGTTTTATCGTTACTTTTATGAACAAAATATTTTCATTTTATATTTACACATTATAAGTGAATAAATATTACTATAAAACTTTCAGTCAAATCAAGATCCAGATAAATAAATTCAGCACAAATTCAAAAATACACTCATTTACCTCTGTTTGATATAGATATGTACAAGCTCGACGTTATTTTTTTTCTTTTCTACACTTTCTCTATTAGACACGTGATTTATTTAGCACATGAAAAAAAATAACAAAGTCGATTAGTACGCGTATATATATCTGTTTTTCACTTTAGTTTTTTAATCATTTATCAAGTGAAAAGATGGAAAAACAGTCATTACTTATTGCTTTATTACCTGAAGAAACTTTTGGTCCATTAAATAATTTTATTGGTATTGCAAATGTTTTAACTAATGATATGGGACATCGTGTTATATTCCTTCTTGATTCTCATGCAAACGGAAAAGCATCAAAATATGGTTTTGAAGAAAAATATTATAATTCATCGAAAAATTCCAACGATGATAATGATGAATCATTTGATGAAATGATCAATAGATCATTAGTAGAATTTCGAAAATCACCATTCGAACAATGGAAAACATTTGTATTTTCAAATATTAAAAATCAAATTAAAGTTATTCAAAATGGTAATGAAGATATCAAAAATCTTTTAGAAGAAATAAAACCAGATGTTATTGTTCAAGATATCTATGTTACTTCACCAGCTATAATTAATAATAAAAATAAAATTCCATTTATTCGTTTTATGTCAGGTAATCCACTTGCAATACCAGATGGACATGCAAAACCACCTGTTAATAGTGGTGTATCAGCACAATATTCATCACCATCAGAAATAAAACAATGTTGGAATGACTTTGATCGAATCTTTCGTTCATTATGGAATTCATTTAATCATTGGATACAAAATGAAGGTTGTACATCATTACCAGATTTAGATTTTGTTCAATCATCAACATATTTAAATATTTATGTTTATCCACAAGTCATGGATTATCATCATGCTTTAAATGATACTGATAAAGCACGTTGGTTACGTATTAATTCTTGTGTACGTGATATTGATCCCGAATTTCAATTTCCAGAAAAACTTCTACGACAAACTGATTCTCCTTTAATTTATGTTTCTCTTGGGACATTGGGTTGTGAAGATGTTGAATTAATGAAGAAATTAATTGATATTCTTAGTCGTACAAAATATCGATGTATTTTTTCACTTGGATCAAAACATGAACAATTTTATCCATTACCAGAAAATATCTGGGGTGATAAAACAATTCCACAAACAAAAGTTATTCCTTTAGTTCATATGGTGATTACACATGGTGGTAATAATACAGTAACAGATTGTTTTCATTTTGGTAAACCAATGTTAGTTTTACCAATGTTTTGGGATCAACATGATAATGCAACAAGAATTAGTGAAACTAGATATGGAATTTGTCTTGATACTTATACATTTACAGAACAACAGATCAATGATGCTTTGAAACAATTATTATCAGATGAAGAATTAAAAATGAAATTAACTACGATTAGGGAACAAATTAAAGCTATGGATGGAATTAAAGAAGCTGCTAAACAAATTGAACGTGTAGCTAGACAATATCAAAATTAATAAAGACTTTTTTTCATTATAAATTATATTTCATGTATATATTATATTGTTTGAACCGAATAAAATTACTTCTCTTCGATATTCGCATCAGTATCTATTCTGAATATGCACAAACACTTTCATCCACATCTCTATGAATATTTATTACTTAAAAGGAAATATATTTATTAAAAGAAAAAAAACTGAATAATCTTTGATGCATATAGTTTGTTTGTTGTTTTGAATTATTCTATAAATATAAATCAATTATAAATCTACGTTGTGAATTAGAATGTTAAAAAATACATACAGTTTTGATCATAGAATAATGATTTAACCACTGGTGTCTGCTCCATCACCACCACAGGCCTTTTGTACTCGTTTCATTCTCATAGAAGGATCAAATCGTTTCCATCTTGGATGATAGTCAGTGTTACTTGCTGCATTAGTCAATGTCATAACAATTGTTATGAATAATAATAATTGAAAGATTCGATAAATTATATTGTTGAGATTAACCATAATGAATATTGATGCAATGCTTTAATAATATTTATTTGTATATTTATGAATATTTACTCAAGCTTTTATAGAAGCGTTAATCGATATTATTAAAGAAAAAGTAAGGTTTTTATAATACGCAATTACCTTGTGATCAAAAACCATGCGCTTATTTCTTTTCTCTTAATGATTTTAATTTCTATTAAATATATGATACAAGTATAAGCGTCAAATATGACACAAAATGACGATAAGTAATCGATAAAGTAGTGTAGGAACGAAAAAAAACTATACGTGATATGATATGTACATTGGTTACTTATTATAAAATTATGATAAATGTAAAAAAATTTTTAGATTTACATCAGATTATTTATATGAAGCAGCCGAAATACAGTTTTTCATTGATATTTATAATGTTAATACGCATTTTTATTGCAATCGAACCTGTTTCCATGTCATCGATGCCAACAAAAATTAAACTATCTGATATAGAAGTTCGATATCTTACTGAACGATTGAAAAAACATGAACATATGTGTGATTATGATGCAAAAAATACAATTACTGAGTTAGAACATTATTATACAGTTCTTAAGAACAAAGATGGTGTTTATGAACCATCAGCAATGGTTGATAGAGCATGGCATCATCATATTCTTCATACAAAAATGTATAGCATGTTTTCACGGCAGCATTTCGGTATGGAAATTCTTCATCATGTACCGTTTTGGTCTGGAAATGAGAAAGAAAATGTAGGAGAATTATCGAATGGAAAAAAAGAATTCGATTTTATCGATACATATGAAACTGTTGTATCAATATTTGGACCACAGAATGTGAATGAAACAGTATGGTATATGATTGAAGATGATTATATGTGAGAGTGTTGATGCATATGTCTCCTTTTCTATCCTTCTTATCTATATCACATTCTTGCATGAACATTACTTTCTATGTTTATCGAATAAAATTTATTACTAAAGATGTGAATTTTATTTTGTTTCATCAGCATCAATGATATGTCCATGAGTAAACAAAATGAAATCCTTAATAAAATTTTATATGAGTTTATTTTCGTCAAAGTAAAAAGTATGTTAGTTAGAAGATCTATTATTTTATAATATGTTGATAATAAAGAAAAATCACAAAACTATGGTCATTAGGGTGTGGATGTGCGTATGAGAGAATGAAAATATTTATACTCAAACCCGCACTCACACCCACCCCCATATTCTATTTTCTCATTCTTAAAAGTTTTCGGTTATTTAAAATGTCGAAGATTTGATATAAAACTATTGATTGAATCAGTAAATGCTTTCTTGTATGTATGTTTGCGTTATGTATTTATTGTTGATATTGATTCTATACGGTTCTTAAATAATTTTAACTTTAATATAAATTCTCTTAAATGTTTTCGAAACGATTGAGATGTTGATAAATAAATCCAAAATGATATTCCATTTGTTAAAAAAGTTAATAAAGTGAAAATAAGATATATTGTAGCTTCATATGATAATCTTAAACGTGTTTTAGTTATATTCGATGTAACTACTGAATAAATTGCGCATATAGCTGCAGGAATTCCACTTAACAATATGATGAACATTTGAATTAACATCATACGTGTTATTACTCCTTCAATATTACGACGACGTTGTAGTAATTGCCGTAAATTATACAATGTTAAAATAAATAATATTAAGATCAACAGAATTGGCAGTAAATAATAACCAATTATAATCCAATAATTAATATAAAAACTTATTATTTGTAGAGAACTTCGACATGAAAATGTTCCTGATGATGATTGAACAAGTTTATTATATATTGGCAATGGAATAAATATTAATAGCCAAATAATAGCAGAAATCATAATAATTAATTGTGCTTTGAAACGTGTCAAAAATTTTTGCCATTGATCTTTTTGTGAAACTAAAAGACATTGCCCTAATGCTGCAAGACAATGACATGTAAAACTAAAACAACCACTTGAATAATAAAGCCATGTATATATTTTACACCAAAATAATGATTGATTTGATAAATTAAATTTAATAAACATATTTATAACAGTTGACCATAATGCAATATTTATAAAAAGAAAACTTCCAATTGATGAAGCTATAACAAATAATGCATTGGGATGTTTATTTAATGGCGGAACATAAAGGAATACGATAAAATTACATATATTACCAATTGAGGTAATAGTAATAATAAGTAAACTAAAATATTTCTGTAAATATTCTTGAACTGTTGATAAATAAGCAATTGTAGTATCGTTTGAAGACATTTCTAGAAAAGTATCTTATTCAAATGTGAAAGATTATTATATATAGAAAAATTAGTTCGCATGATTTTGAGGGCATTTAACACTGTCGACTGTAATCAAGATAAGTTTAAGTTGAATAGAAGATAATATTTATCTTTCTATATCTATATATATATATATTTCCTTGCATGATTGTTAATAATAAATATGGATATATAATTAAACCTAATTAAAAAAAACGATTTTCAGTTTCATGGAAGTAAATCTGTCTCATTATGTCCGATTAAGAATAGATATAGGGATCTTAAAAAAGACTTCATTTAATCTGTATCAAAATTAGATGCACTTATTTAGGACAAGTATTGAACAGATATCTCACAAGGGTGCTATCTTCACCCACACCTTCAAGATATTGACATTGATTTCTGTAGAATCTCATTGAATAAACACAAAAAAAATGTTTTTTTCATCGTTTCGATTATAAGAAGGATAACAAGTTTTATTGTTTTGATATGACATCGCATTATATTGGTTGTATTGTAAATGACAATATGGTTCAAGATACTGAACAGTTTTTTACTAATCTAGAATTATTATTCAATTTAATTCTAAAGTTTTACTAATCAAATCTTACTTAATTGAGACGTTTTTATTCAACTGATATATTTTACACTTGGAAAAATTACTCGTTCGTAAAGCCCTTTCAGATAGTGAAGACTTCATACCCTGAAAAATTGCACAGTCAATTTGTTATTCTTTTGTTGGTGTTGTATAAAGCAAAAAATTCAACAGATAAATTTTATATTTGTCATGGGAAATAACCCAAATACAACTTCTTTTCACTCTCAAAGTGAATAGTAAAATTTGTGAATCTACATTACATGCATTAATTATACTATTCAGACTTAGTTCTACTATCTGTTGATATTGACTCGTCAGTTTTTGATGAAATAAAGTATGAATCCCTATTATTTTCAAATATAGTTTAAAAACACACCTACACTCACAAATATATCTCAAAGTGTGTGGAATCAGATGTATCTGAAATAGACTTTTGACTTTTTCTTGTATACCAAAATTCGTAGTGTTTCCATCTACAAAAACTTATGATATTCCATAAGAAAAACTTTTCATCGTTTTTTACCATTGCATGTTGAAATCTATATCATAATGAAGCAGATTATCAAAAATGTATCAGTTCGATATAAAATTTTTTAAAAAGTATTTTATATCATAACTATGATAAAAGTGGATCAACATGTCATTTTTTTACTTTATATTTCAATATGTAAAATATTCAAAAACAGATAAAGAAATAAATGTATCGATCAATTGAATTTAAACAATTGTTAATGTCACATTAAGAAATATCTATTTATATTTTATTCGCTAGCAAGTTTTATACAGTAATACAAGAGAAAAAATGAAAGACTTTTGCTTTTTTAATCTTTATTGTTTTATCTGATTCAATAGATAATTCAATCGAAATCAATTAATCTTTTGATATCCATTAAGTTACTATAGTGATAATCTAAATCATTTAAAATCAGCTGAATTCATTCGCTGATCGTAAATCAAAATATGTTTACGAAGAAAAGATGAAATAACGGTAATAATATAAGCCTGATTTTTTTCCATGGTTATAATCAGTTAAGATATTGTGTTTGATAGATTTTTCAAATCAATCTATATATTACATTAATATAAGTATTGTGTGTGACAGTTGCGTGCAATTCAATCGACATCAATGGAAATGAAATAAACAAACCCGGCCTATATTCTAGAATCATACGCAAATAAAGAAAAAAAAAGTCAAAATTACAATCTCAGTCAAGACAACAACGATCAAACTCACCTTTCTTCTACGATTCTTTCTTTTTTTCT